ACATCATCACCTTGATGAAGGACCCAAGCAAGTGCAAGTTGTGCAGGAGTGCATCCATGCTTTTCAGCCAATTTTTCTATGCATGAATAAAAGATCTCGTTCTTTTCAAAGTTCTCTCCTTGAAACCTTGGATGCATCTGCTTGAGGAAAGAATGGCCATCAGTTATAATTAAGCAAACATTAAAATGATAAAAAGGATGAAATATGAGAATGGATGTAATAGTTAATATGATCTTTGCTTTACAAGATTTTACGTATATGCTAAGGTCATAAAGATAAAGATTAGCTGCATACCAGAAAACTATATGCAGGTATTCTTTCCACCACAGCTCTGACACCAAAAAGTCCACGACCAAGAGGGCTGTATGGAACCATCCCAATTCCTAGTTCCCTTTTTGAGCACATTCATAAGGCATGTGTCAAGCTTTTCCATCAAGAAATAAAATGAAACACTTCAAATACCATGAGCTTAAAGAGCTACTCAAACAACATAACATATATTTTTCCAAACAAAATCAATGGTATAGTCAGTTTGTCCATAAATAAGAATCTAAGATAGAGTATAACACAATATGGGGAATTGAGTTGGAGGAGGGGGAGGTGAGCTGAAGATACCTGCAAAGTGGGACTATTTCTTCCTCAATATCACGTGTCCAGAGCGACCAATCCATTTGCAAAGCGGTAATGGGATGAACTGCATGAGCTCTCCTAATGGTTTCAGGGCTTGCCTCAACTAACCCAATGTACTTGATTTTTCCTTCTTCCACCAACTTCTTAAGTTCACCCATCTAAGGCAAAAAAAACATATATGATAATAGTTAGTTTACCTCAAGCACGCAGCTAAAATATTATATCAGCAGCAAATATGAGCATACACCAAGGAGGAAACTAAAGCCTTTTGCAATATGCAATGAATAATGTCATTCTCTGTAGACCAGCACTTACAGTATCTTCTATTGGTACTGTTGTATCAATCCTGTGTGGGTAATAAAGATCAATATATTCCACACCAAGGCGATTCAGGCTAGCCTCACAACAGGAACGGACATATTCTGGATTACCCTTTATTATGACACCATTCGAATGCAATTTCACAACACCAAATTTAGTAGCTAATTGAACCATCTCCCGGGGTAGCTGCTGCAAAGCCTAAAAGACATTGATTTTAGTAAAAACATGAGTGCTTTCACAAGCAAAGTAAGAAAGCATAAAACATTTAACACACCACAGCAGGACTTGATAAATTTACTTTATATTAATTCTTTGATCTTCTAAACAGAAAGTGACTCAACAACTTTGTTATCCGGCTAACTAAAATGGATCATCTTCAACAATCAACAACCAACGTTCTAGATAACTAGATCTTTCTTGGTATTTACACTAACTAATGATTTGCAGAACTTCCCTTTCCTTTTTCATGTTATTGAAAGGAATAGACCACAAATGAAAGGAAGTTCACCAAATAATCTATTTATCTATAACATTAACATCGACAATCTATGCAAACTACTGCAAGCATTAATTCCTAGTAGCTCAAGTACGAATTTGATGGGAAGATAAGATTCCATCTAGTCAAGTTAGAAATTTTAAGCCTCTATATCATATCCAATAAAATCAACTATAGAATCAACAGCAGAATTTGCTCTAACTTGGGGAAGGAACTTGTGTTGAAGCAAGTTTATACCTTTCCGACTAATACTTTATTAGTATTAACTCCATAGATATCTGAAGTATCAAAGAAAGTAATCCCACTGTGAAATGCATGCTTGATGATTGATATGGCAACTTCTTCAGGGACAGGATCAATTCCAGTTAGCACCACAACCAAATCCCAACTTGGAGACATACAAAATAATTGCATTGCAAAAGTTAAGGTATTAAAGAAGGGTACTTTTCTTGATTAACATCTTCACAAAATTAGAAAGCTTTACCTAAAACACAAGGGCACAAGTCTCAAATGCCAAGGAGACAAACATAGATTGTGCAGATATTAGAAGAAAGTACAAAGAATATTGCTTGAATTCCAAATCAACAGACCTTATTTTGGAGAACTATGGACTTAGAATTGAAGATTACCTCGAGTCCTTGAGTACCCAGTTTCACTCGGGGCATGACAACTCCCTGCTGCTGCTGCTCCCCAACCCCAGCCATCGTTGAACTCTGTTCCTGCATTCCTCCTCCTCTCTGTGCTTGAAACTTGAAATTTTCACTTGAGCAGCTTACATCGTGGTGCGAGAAACCAGAATTTAAAGCTGGGAAAACTCTGTTCCTGTATTCTTCAAGTTCCCCGCGCTGACGGTACCTTGTGCGTCATCTTTCTTTTAAATTTAATCGGATCGTGTTTATGGACTCAAGTCGGGTCAAGTCAAAACAGGTTATCAAGTACGAATCCGAAATCCAACGGTCATGAGGTCGCCAGACATGAAATCAAGATGATATTAACCGTTCGATCAAAAGGAGGGAACTTTCTCTCTCCTCTTATTGCTTCCTCGGGAGAGCGCCTTTATTTGGCTTCTCTTCTCCTGTTATGAGTTTGTTAGTTCGGATGAACGGACCGTTAAAAGTTAACTGAATGATGATATCAGCCTTAATAAAACGGTTGGTTTGTCAATTGAGGGATTGATTTGCACGTGAAGTGAGTTAAAGGAGTGATTTGTCACTAGTTGATGAGTTGAGAGGATGATTTGCCACCAATTGATGAGTTAAGGGACCGATCTGCATGTTTTGCCTTAATATTAATTAGTGCCAAGAAACTGCATTGTAGTGTGCGTTTATCGCCATTGCAAGTGTCGGGAAATCAAATTTCACATTAGACAGTCCGTCTTTTTTTAAAAAAATAAAAATTAAATTGATAATTAAAAACTGTTTTAGAGAATGGATTATATATACTTCATCTTATAAAATTATTTAAATATTTTTTTAAAAATAATATAAAAATAAAATTAAAAGTATATAAGTAATTTGATAGGATGAAATTGCATATTGTCTATTTTATAAAATTATTTTTTTGATTGATAATATTAATATTAATTTTTTAATAAATAGAAGAGTGTTAAATTTAAAATATAAACTTTAGATTACTAAAAATACTATTAATTTACTTCTAAAAGAAATGTAACCATTTAAATCACACAGTTGATTAACACATTAATTTGATAGTACGTCTAATCCTGTCAACACTTGGTAATATATTTTAATTGATGAATACAGGTGTATATACCAACAATAATTAAAAGGTTTATAGCATGTTTGGTTTGTAAGTAAAATTTTTTAATTAGTTAAATTATAGAACTGCCCGTTCCGACTCAGTGGTATTGGATTCTGAGTTAGGACTGTTCATCTCTATGGGTTGCACGTTCAAGCTCCATAGAAACCCTTTTCCTCCTCCCCTAATTAACTTTGTAAATAATTACAAATTATT